ATCCCCCCCTCCCTTTACAACGTCCGTGAAGCGAGAAAAATCAACTATCAAAATAAATTTTTCCCAGCCCAAATACGACCCCCCTATTGGGGATTCCCCAACAACGATGTGCCCTGATGTGGAGGCTTGTCAGATGGGCTGGGTTTGGCGCAATATTTGCCCGCTTGTCCCCTTCGACAACTGGAGCAGGGCGGGCTGACGTCGCGTCAAACCCAACCCCCTGACATGTCCCATCATCCGCAGCGAACAATACTGTGCTGTTTCTGGATGCACAGTGTATCCGACTTCTTTTAAAGATCGTAGTTGTATTTGAAGGTGCATTGATGAGTGCCGAAGAACGTACAAATCACAATGTAGGAAAGAAATTTGAAGGACTCCTCTTGCAGGATGATATCAAAGTCATCTTAATAGAACTATCGTGCCTCAAGGTGGTTCATCCACCCCGAGGTCCTTCCCTGATTTAGGCGTCCCGTTTTGGCAGAAGTCCTGTTATCCATCACGATCTAGTTTTGCACAAGGAGTTCTTTAAATGCGTGAATGCTTCTCCAAGGGTATAAGCACCGATTAGTATTATCATTCCTTGGCAGGAAATCCTATCCGGGAGAAAAAAAGATGATCTCACTGGAGAGGCATCACCCAAAATGTATTCCCAGGAACAGACATGGCCAGGGAGCGATTTCGGGTTTTTTACTGACATTACAGGAGCAATAAATTGCGGTAACAGCGCCACCTCCCACTGCTCATTCTTCTACTCAAAATTCAGGAAACTGCGGTTCCTCAAACTTTTTCCAGGGATATCTTGAGAATAGCTGGGACGAGAGAACTCCTTAAAGTTCTGATCACATCTCTGAACTGATAGCTGAGTTTGGGAGAGAGCACTTTCTTGAGATCCTTATATCGGAACAGAAGGTAGCGCAGAGCAAAAAAGTCTATCCAGTGCTAAGTGGAAAACTCACCAGCTGGCCGTCCTCGGATTTCTGTATAACTTGAAATTCTGGCAAAGATCCGAGAATCAGTGCTGATATTGATAATACTACAAACGACGTGGAGATCACTTCGAAAGCCTAAATTTACTGAGAAGGTTACAAACATTCTTTATACCAGAAGTTAAAAAGATTAGGGTGGTCACTCTAAAATCCTGCAGACCAGAGAGTCGATACAGATAGGGCGGCCAGTATGACAAAGAGACCCTTACATTAGCTGGCACTGTGGGACGTGCTGCGGGTCGAAGTGGGAACTCCTCGTTACCTCAAGTCGAGCAGACGGAAAGGGAGGGGGAGGGGGAGAATGTACATGTAACACATTTAAACCGAGAAAAATCGGGAACGGTCAGTAATTAAAACATTTTTCTCGGAGGCAAATGCGATCCTCTCTTTTGAGGCTAACAGATACGATCTCCGTCGCTGAAGATCCTCAACGAGCGACGTGCCCCGGTGCTCATTGCTTTTGTTAGGTGTTTTTAATGTGGTGCTAAACATGGTCCAGTCAATGGGCGGCAACTCACTTTCCACCATCGTGATTGAGTGTGGCCCTCAAGTATTAACCATAGCCGTCGCCGCACATTTGCGCATCTGACTCCAATGAAGTGATCCTTCTCCTGAAAGAAAGCCCGATTACTCAAAGGCGGCATAAGTTGAAGACACATTTCGCGATTGCACGTCTTGCGTAGTGGGTTCTTAAAATGAACTTGTAGGTGCTATTCCGGTCACCAGTTGAAGGGAAAAAGCATAGCAGAAAAACAACCCATCGAGGAACCGCTTGAATAAGAGGAAAAAGCCTTTTAATGTTAGAGAACACAAGATGGGAAGTCAGGTCTGAGATGAGGACGGCAGATACAGGATACAGCATCAGCGGGCAAGACCGTGTGTAAGATGGCAGCCTACAGTCACGACCTCCGTTCCCAACTTCCTCACTTGGTACGACTCCTTTCCTCTTTCCTAACTACAGTTTCCATGAGTTTTCTAAAATTCCTATCGTTTCTCCTAGTTTTCGCCGTCTTCCAAGAAGTTTTAGGTTCTCCCCTGACACATCCGCCCGAGGAAGGGAGAGGGGAGGAGGTGTGGTGGTCGTCTCATATCAACCATAAGTTCCATTTAGTATTTGTATTGTAGTTCTGCGCCGCGAGCAAATGTAGCCCTCTACCCCCCCCCCCCTTCCCTTACCTCACAGGAATGAGATTCTTAAAATGATGTTGCCCCATGTACCCTGAGCGAGAGAGGAGAGAGAGCTACAACGGCGAGGAAATCGTCGCAACATTGCGCAGCAGCCACACGATTGTGGGTATATGTACTGCTACGGGGGGGGGGGCTTTCTGGCCATCATGGTCCTCTAGCACTCTTTCCCTGCTCTTTCTAGTTGCAAAATGACACATTTTATCGGCTGTGAACCTGCCAACGTGAAACAAGGAGGAAGGTACCACTTTGGGATAATCGCGAAATGTGTCTTGAAACGGATCAGCGCCGCTTTTGCGAATAGGTCACCCACAGCAGTCGACACGTCGTTTGTTTGAAGTGCCCTCCCCACCCAA